AATATCCCCGAAAAAAAATGTACCTAGCCCATGCACTCCGTCAAACTTTGCAATTTTCAATATAACAAACATGCCCTCACATTTAAGGTGTTACAGTGGTAGGGATGCATCACACCTAAAAAATAACTATAGTATCTTAAAGTAGAGATTTCAAGCTTTAATTTAAAAAAAAGAACATAATTTTACGATGATTTTTCGCGGAGTTACCGTCAGTCAAAGTTGACCAATTTTTGCATAAAATTTTTCTATGCCATATTTCTTTTGAGCAGTGTATATTGTTTATTGAATTATACTTTTTTTAACAATAAAGAGAAAAAAACGTTGGTAAATGGCGCGCGCGGAGCGCGCGCTTGTTTTGTTCTAGTATTATATATAAAGCGCAAGAATTCTCAGTGTGTCATTTCTCGCCTCTGACGTCACGATTCCAACATGGCTGCAGTAAGTACTCAGAAGCCTTAAAAGTATCTATTAAAAATAAATTAATTCAGCACTTACAACGTCAACGTAGGCGGGGTTGTCCTTTGTAAACGATTGTATCGCTTCTATTGTCGAAAACGGAAGAATTCGTGGCTTCACGGGAATTGCATTATTAACGTTGGAATCGATTTTTCGTTCTATTGAATCTAATCATTCATTTGTTATTCTAAAATTAATTGATTACAATTAGTAATATTATAAAACAAAAGTATATATTAATTAAATGTGTAAAAATGCCAAGACATAATATTCAACGGTAACAGTTCAACCCATTTGTTGTGTTTTAATGTTTAATATTTCATATTTATCCATGGACTAATTTTCTCAAACTAGTATACATTTTTTCAAAACAGTAAGAATGAAAAATATAATAGATTAGATATCATAGACAAGCGTACTATTTAGCTTTTGAAACAATATTATACTATTAACCCCTCGATACATACAGCTATTAAAATATGCAATGACAGCCACTCCTGAAGTAAGCACAGCGAAAAAACCAATCAGTATCGCGGAAGAGGCAACAATCAATTTCGAAATTTTTAAGAGAACTGTGATACATATAAAAAAAGAAAATACACAAAAAAATATACGACTTACTGTATTTTACGTTCTAAGTCGCCAAGTACTTCAAGAACTTGCTTTATTTCATTTCTTTCTCTTGGTAGTGATGAATTTTCCAATCGTATTTCATGTGATGGTGTAATTTGAAGTGGGGCAATTGGCCCCGTATTTCCCAATTCTTGTATGCAATGCAATTCTTCCACTGGTGGATTTGAATTTGTAACAGGTTGCTGGTAACACGGTTGTAAATTGTGTAGCAGCTGTATTTCATTCTCCAGAGGTAGAATATTATCTGGCTGAATAGATGGTAGTATTACATTTTCCGATACTCTTTTATGTTGTATGTTGTAATTCTTCATTATATTCATATTTTGTTCATGAGTTGATACACGATGAAGACTGTTTTCATCATTAATACTGGGTTAGTTTGTTGTGGTGGCATATTTTCATCATTAATACTGGGTTAGTTTGTTGTGGTGGCATATTTGTAGGATTATTCGCATTAAATGAATGGAAGTCAACAGTTTGTCGCTGCATATTTTCTGCCAAATTTTCTGTTGTGTGTTGTCCAATATTACATACATTCCCTCCAGTAAGAGGTATTGGATGGTATGGTAAACGATGAAGTTTTTGATTATATGCATTTTCGGTCAATGTGTATGGAGCAAATACATTTCGGTTGGTCTGATCATGTCTAATGCACGCCTTTGTAACTGTACAATTTGAGTCCTTATTGGAATTTGAATTACATGGCAGATTTTCGATAGTACTGCGGATCTCCTGCAAAGTACATGACATTTTCTTCTTTACTTTTTCTTCATCAATATGCTTAGGTTTTTTAGTCTTCACATTATCTTCGCTCGAAGTGGTTTCGAATCGACGTGGTTTTTTTTATGGTCTTTTCGGACGGTTTGTGGATCTGAAAATAAACAGGAATAATCTGAACGTGTTACTATATATTGCGAAGATTAACATTAACTAGTAAGTATGACACTTTTATAACTTTAAAATATTCCTACATTGTATATTTTCATACAGGTCTAAAGTATAGTATTTTTTCTTCCTCTTTACCCTATGAAACATTTGTTCGCAATGTACATATTACATTACAACAGTAGATACAATGTAAAAATAAGTATAAATTTTACAGTTACACTACAGTTACCTTCAAATACTTCAAGCTGATCAATATGAAGATGTGACATGACAATATTTTTACGTAAAAGATGTTTACAATCACTTTCGATAGCAAATATTTACATAAATATATTATACAGCATTTATAGTATACAGCATGTACCAAAAGTCTGGAAACGGCCGAATATTTCATAAACTATGCATTTTAGAAAGAAATGTTTCAGACGAAAGTTGTTTGGTTCGAAGAGGGACACAAGATGGTGTTATTGGATTGACCTTGAATGAATGTGCCAAGGTTATATGGAGCTCAACTTTGATTTTTAAATGGAGCTCCCTAGTTTTCATTGAATATTCTTGTAGCTTATCTCGAGAGATTTTCAAAACACTATAATTAAATGCTCTTAGAACCAAACATCTTTCGTCTGCAACATTTTTTTCTAAAATGCATAGTTTATGAAATATTCGACCGTTTCCAGACTTTTGGTACACCCTGTACACCTATAGTAATAAAATTAATTGTTTTCTTTATTATTATTGCATAACTGCAACGATAAATTCGTGTTCTACTACCTTATCACACACTTCATTACTAGAGACACAGGTCCAATAAGGCATTTTAAAACATTTAGCTTTAATATTCTCCAATGGAATAACATCACCTCCACTAAGCT